TATCACCTCACGCCAGTCAGAGTGGCCAAAATGAACAAATCAGGAGACTATAGATGCTGGAGAGGATGTGGAGAAACGGGAACCCTCTTGCACTGTTGGTGGGAATGCAAATTGGTGCAGCCGCTCTGGAAAGCAGTGTGGAGGTTCCTCAGAAAATTAAAAATAGACCTACCCTATGACCCAGCAATAGCACTGCTAGGAATTTATCCAAGGGACACAGGAGTACTGATGCATAGGGGCACTTGTACCCCAATGTTCATAGCAGCACTCTCAACAATAGCCAAATTATGGAAAGAGCCTAAATGTCCATCAACTGATGAATGGATAAAGAAATTGTGGTTTATATACACAATGGAATACTACGTGGCAATGAGAAAAAATGAAATATGGCCTTTTGTAGCAACGTGGATGGAACTGGAGAGTGTGATGCTAAGTGAAATAAGCCATACAGAGAAAGACAGATACCATATGGTTTCACTCTTATGTGGATCCTGAGAAACTTAACAGGAACCCATGGGGGGAGGGGAAGGAAAAAAAAAAAAAGAGGTTAGAGTGGGAGAGAGCCAAAGCATAAGAGACTGTTGAGAACTGAGAGCAAACTGAGGGTTGATGGGGGGTGGGAGGGAGGAGAGGGTGGGTGATGGGTATTGAGGAGGGCACCTTTTGGGATGAGCACTGGGTGTTGTATGGAAACCAATTTGACAATAAATTTCATATATAAATAAAAAAAAGATGAAATGAAACAGACTTGATTCTGTCTTGCACAGAATTTAAAGACTAGCTGAATAATAGCTGACATTTTTTGAGATAGTTTTTTTACTTTCCAGTTGAGAAAACTGAGACTCAGAGAAGTTAAATAATTTGCACAGGGCACAGAGCTAGCAGACAACAGAATTCAGGTCTATTAGACTACAAACACTTCTCTTAACTATCATGCCACACCGCCAGCACACCATGGCAAAGGTGTGGACCCTGGCAAAGTCACATAATTGCTGGCTAGACAGTTTGTCAGGCATTCGCTTCCAGTTGATAGGAAGTGGCACTTGAAATGAAAGTCACAGTGTTTACTATCTTGGCTAATGTCTTTTCCAGAACACCAAGAATCATTGAATAATTCATTGGGATTTAATCACATATTTCATTCCATTGTTAAACTATTTCTATAACAAGACACATGTTATCTTTCAACTATCTTTAACTTCTACATGGTCAGGGACACAATTTCTTTTATCAACACCGTTTCATCTAACATGATTGACATGGATGGTGAGGTGCTCAGTAAGCACTCTGTGGGAAGGCACGGTGAAGACAGGTAATTGAATGAAGGAAGGAAGGAATGCACTCATGCTGTTTTCATAGCGACAGTCAGCAATGTTTAAAAGAAAGTTTTCTGTATGTGACCCAGGTCTCTAACTTCTGAGTTGGAGAATCATTCTATTTTTTCCAGTCCTCTGAGCATCGCCGATGAGTGGAGGGATATGTTTTCAGGATTTATAGGGGGAAGAGAGAGAAGGCTTCGACTTCTAACCACTTAGATGACAAATAACAAATGAAAACTGATGCTTGTCATTAAACAAGCCTAGGAAAGTCTACAATGATATAGGGAGAGAAGACTTTCCTGCTAGCACCCCCTCCCCTACAGCACACTGGATTATAGTCCCCTCCTGGTATTACCGTGCTCCCCAGTGAATACTGAGTATCTACATTGCTTTGTTTGTCTTTGCACCACACCGTCCAGGAGTATCTGATACAGAACTCTTTAATAAAGACTTATTGCACAAATGGCTGCATACGGCTGTAACGTCAGTGGTTTTCGTATAGGCTGCGTAATAGGCTTCCCACTTGATTATTAATGTTTTGGATTCCCTAATAGTAATAATAATAAAAAAAAAGCTCTTTTCTTTCCACAGTGAAAGATAAAAGGCAAATAAAAGGTTTCTGTCAGGGGCTACATTTTGTGGGGACATAATTACATAGACATAGAAATGACTCAAACTCTTGGTAGAAATGAGTATGCAAATGGAGAAGAAAGAATATAGGGGCCACTTGGAATGTGGAATGAGGTAGGGGATAGTTATTGAATTAGCGGGGCGGAGACCCTGAAGATTATAAGAACAGCTAACAGTTAATAAGCTCTTACTGTGTGTCAGCATTATTCTAAGCAATAATTCATGGATTAACTTTCCACTGCTTTTATGGATTAAACAATATTATAATCCCCACTTTATTCATGATGAGCTTGAAGCATCAAAGACTGAACAGTGTATCCCAAATCACAAAGGCAGGAAGTTTTCAAGTTAACATTTCAAATCCAGGTGGCCTGCCTCCAGCCCACGCCCTTGACCTCTGTGGTCTCCTCCCTCTGTAGAAGATGAGCTTTTGCCAGCTTCAGCATTCTGCCAAGAGCCAGTCCTAATAGGATTCCGTCTGATACATCCAAGGTTTCTACCCCTAATACAATATGAAGGCAAGTTCAACCTAACGATTGTTCCTTTACAGTTGTTCCTAATTATTCTATTTGTGTTTACTTGGAATGCCTGGGGGATTCAATAAAGGTATTCCAATACATGTGCACAATCCTGAAGAAATCAATAGATGGAATAAAAATGAAGTGAGATTTAAGCAAGCTTTCTGTATTGAAATCATATCATTCATTGGAGACTGTATCCTTCTGCTTCTTGAAAAGCAAGCAGCCCCATTCTTCTGTGTGTTTCAGAAAGCAGAAGTCCTAGGCTAGAAAGCTGTTCTAATCAACTAGTAGCTGCGAGCTATATTACTGAACTTTGTGTTACAAGCGATGGTGGATGCTGATATACCATAGTTTTCATCTCACGATCCCAATCTGCTTAGGGTATAATGGTTTCTCTCAACCTTTACCATTGTAAGCACCACTAAGAGATTGAATCATCACAGGGAGGCCAAATGGAATGCATGCGATGTGTTGTATCATGGGATGGTTGCTTTTGTTGCATAACGTTGACAATCATTCCAAATAAAAAATGCTTGGGGTGTCTCTAAGGAGCCTATTTGTATTGGAGCATCTATGTGGGCTGGGGTCACTGCAGGACAAACAGAGCAAGCGACTACATGCGATCTATGAAATATTATTTAAGGCCTTTTCCCCCCGACTGCAAGAAACTCTCTTGCAACACTTACATATTTATTCTGTCAACAGGAATTCATTGAGCACTTGTTATGGGCCAGACACTTGACGTCGAGATGTAGAGTCGTCCTTGAGCTACAACATAATTATGATAAGGTGTGGTGAGAGACGTAAAGGGAGATGCAGTTTGTCCCAGGAACTCAGCAGGGGATACAGCATCTTTACCTTCTCAATGCAACCGTTTTCGTCTTCCTCCTATTCTCCCAATTCAAACCACGGTTGGCCACATTGGAATCCTGGAGGTGCCATTGAAAGGCCACTGTTATTCACAATACCATGGTTTCTATAGAGACTTCTTCTAAGTTCAATCACACCCCCCATCTTCTCTGCCTGGTGAACTCTTACTTAACTTTTAAGGTTTATTTAGCTCAAACGCAATCTCCTTTTTGAAATCTTCCCTGATTTCTCCACCTTTTCCCCCTTCTCCCAACCCTTAGTCAATCTTTCCTTCTTTAAACTCCAGAATATTTTTCCCCTCTCTTATGGAATTTAGTATTTTATATGACATTAGCAACTTAAAGACATTTTGTTTTTTTGTTTTTTTTTTTCAACGTTTATTTATTTTGGGGACAGAGAGAGACAGAGCATGAACGGGGGAGGGGCAGAGAGAGAGGGAGACACAGAATCGGAAACAGGCTCCAGGCTCTTAGCCGTCAGCCCAGAGCCTGATGCGGGGCTCGAACTCACGGACCGCGAGATCGTGACCTGGCTGAAGTTGGACGCTCAACCGACTGCACCACCCAGGCGCCCCCATTTTGTTTTTTTTTTTTTTTTATTCTTATTGGTTTGGTAAACTCTTTAGGGCAGAGATAATATACATATTTTTTTTCCCTCTCTAGCCCTTATTGGAAATTGCATAATGTTCAAATGCTTTCTGATTAACCCAGTGAATTAATGAAAAATAAATATCATTTGCTAAGGAGCTATTGTGAAATTTGCATATTTTACATCATTTAATTTTCAGAATAATCCTGCAAGATAAATATTACCATCACCATTTTACAAATGAGGAAATGAAAGCTTTGATGGGTTAAATGAGTTGCTCAAAGCCATACAGCTCAAAAATGGTGAACTTGTCTGGTTTTAATGGTCATCTTCTATTTTACCATCCTGCAAAAAATCAATGGGAATGGCTTTGTAGTTGCAGGAAGGGTATCTTCCTTTCACATCCTTGCTACTCAAAATGTGATTGACAGATCAGAAACATTGGTACAGCATGGAAGCTTATACGAAATGCAGAATCTTGGGCTCCCCCTTATGCCTGTGAAATCAGAATTAGCGTTATTAACATTATCCCCAGATTCGTCTTTTTTTTTTTTGAGAGAGAGAGAGAGGGAGTGAGAGAGTGCACATGAGTGGGGGAGGGGCAGAGAGAGGGAGAGAGAGAGAGAAACTTAAGCAGGCTTCATGCCCAGTGTTGAGCCAGACACAGGGCTTGATGCAGAGCTCAGTCTCACAAACTGTGAGATCATGATCTGAGTGGAAATCAAAAGTCAGACACTCAACCAACAGAGCCACCCAGGTGCCCCATCTCCAGATTATTCTTATGGATAGTGAAGAATGAGAAGCACCAACTACCTTCACAGTTTTCCTGGGGTTTATCATGGTTCATGGCTTTTTGAAAACTCATCTCAGACACACAGAAAGATGATGCTCATTGTAACATGCAACCCGTAAGTAGATGAAAGCCTGCAGGTACCAGTTGGGCATATCCTAGAAGAAAAACAAAACCATATCTAATTTTTTTTACCATTCTCTTTCCTTATTTCCCTGCCTTCCTAATCATTCTTTGAGGGAAGAGATCCGGTGAAAACTTTATCTTGTTAGGCAAATGTGAAAATTGGGTGCTTCTCATTCAGATTATTTAACTGTGAGGAATAAAGTACCACTCAGGTTAGAGAGAAGGTCAGTTTAAGAATACACCTAGAATAGGGGGCCTGGGTGGCTCAGTCGGCTAAGCATCTGACTTCGGCTCACGTCATGATCTCACAGTTTGTGAGTTCGAGCCCCACATCGGGCTCTGTGCTGACAGCTGAAAGCCTGGAGCCTGCTTCTGATTCTGTGTTTCCCTCTCTCTCTGCCCCTCCCCCACTCTCTCTGTCTCTCAAAAATAAATAAATATTAAAAATTAAAAAAAAAAAAGAACACATCTAGAATAGTTTCAGTAGTGGGCTCTCATAGTGGGTTCAATAATAGGATTAGTCCTCAGGGAGGTGCTTCTGAACTCAAGGTCCTTTAAGGATCTCTGCAGGAGGAGTTTGGGGGGGTCTTCTCCTAGGATGTACCATTAATGAAGTTTGGCTACCCCATCCTTCAGTCCTTATCACTGTCAATACCATTGTTTGCCCCCCTCTGTCATTCCCTCTTCTTGCTGGAAAAAGATCTCTTTAACTTATTCCCATTCAAATTCTAAACATTGAGAATATGATTGGCTAATCTCATGAACCCAAGGGAGCCACATGTTTCCAGATCACAGGGTATATATTAGTATATGGAAAAAGTTCCTTGGTCAATTGCGCAGATCCAGCTCCATTATCCACAGCTTGGGGTATAGAATGATTTCTTTTAGAAATAAACTTTGAACTTCTGCAGAGACTTGGGCAGTCCAGTTTCCTTTAGGAAGTGGTATGAATAGACTGCTCTATAAAAAGGGTCCAAGGCAAAAAGGAAAGAAATAAGTTAACTTTTTCCAGTGCAGTGTTTAAAGAGCTAGCTAGCTAGCTGATTATATACTCAGTAGATGTGACTAATTGCTAAATTCTGCATTCTTCTGCAAGTCATGGTACTGTGGTAAGATAAAACAAGTAGTCCATTATCCCATTGAGCTAACTTTTAAAGGAGATATTAACTGAGCATCTACTACTAGTTAGACATTCTGTAATGTGGGGATTACAGAGATGCACAGAATACAGCTGATGCCTTCAGGGTGGTTATAATTTAGTGGTCACAGCTATATAAGGACATGTGTTCAGAATTTACATCGTAAGTGCAAAGGCCACAGGCCCAAGATGTAGCTTTTGTTTATGTACGTGTATTCTCCCGTAGTTCAAATTCTCTCAGAATTTCTTTGTGGGGAAATTAACATTGATTTGCTGCTGAAGTAATGGTCTTCACTTATCCACGCAACATGAAAAGAAGCAGGAGTGAGTATACCTACCTTGTGGCCGAATGACTTTAAAAAAAAATTGGAAGATTAAGAGTTGAATGACATTTTGTTTGGTAGTATTATAGGGTCATCATAAAAGCAAGGTCTAAGGCATTGCTTATCCTTGGGCAAGGAGGGGACATAATAAATTAAGAACCGAAAGCACTGTGTTCCATCAGATCCCTGGAAGTATCCATTCTAAGCATGGTTTGAAGCATGCTTTTATTTATAATGCATATTGGGCCACCTTATTCTGATAGATACAATCAGGAGACAACTTTATAACTCAGTGACTTGAGAGATATCAGATAGATCACTGGTGTGTATCATGGAACTCAATTCTTACCTTGCCCAAGGCACCAGTTTCCAAAGGCTTATCACATGTCGAAGGTGGTGGTCCTCCATTTCTGTAGAGTGACGGAGATGAGCTGTTCTACTCAGTCAAAATCCACTTTCTAGCATAGCTAGAACTTGGTGAAGGTTGAATCATAGTGAATATAAAGATTATCATACTGATTATACCCTTATCAGATTATTATGCTGCAGACATTTTCAGGGAAGGTATCAAAAGCACTCTAAAAAAAGAGTAAGTAGGAGAACTGGTTAATAGGTAGGAGGAAATGTCTAGAAAGATCTTTTCTAAGATTATTCTAGGTGTCCTCTAGCGTGGAGGAGAACTAAGCATGCACTAAATATATAGCAAAGAGTTATTCTTACTTTTGCTTTCTCTTTCATCCAGTTGATTAGGAACAATTACCAGCACAGAATATTCTCCACAGAACTCTGGAGAAGAACATAAGGAAAGCACTAGAGTCAGCTCTTGACTTCTTTTTCTGAACATTGGAATTGTTACTCTTTTTTTTTTCCTTCTTCTATCTGGTGGGTGGCTTTGTAAGGAAGAATTTTGGTCCTGATGGCACCTCGGCAATGATGAGAAATTCATGTACTCAGTAGCTAGTTTTTAGTTTGTTCTTCCTTTCAGAGAAATCTTATGCAATATTTCTGCTCCTGTATCAACAGGAGCTGGTATATCTGTAGAAAATTTGCCCAATATGCTTACCACTTTCAGGGGGAAATACAAATGGCGATTCATCTTGGCAGATGGACTCAGATAAGTAAAATTTCTTTGGGAATTAGACTTAGTAGAACTAATTTAGATCCCATGGAGGAAATTTTAGCAAAGGCCCCTGTTACAGAATAAATATTTTGTTTGCCTTGTTTTCATCAGGTAGTTTCCTTGGTCCACACTTGTTTTAGTAGGTTTCCCTTTTAAAAAAATGTTTATTTATTCATTTTTTAGAGAGAGAGAGAGCAGGGGAGAGGGGAGAGGGAGAGCAAGAGAGAATCTTAGGCTGAGCGTGGAGCCTGACACAGGCTCACTATTCGAGAGAGAAGCGTTGGAAGCTCAACCAACTAAGCCACGTAGGTTTCCCCGTCAAAGGAATATTCCTTCTTAAACCTATCTCATTTACGTCACTCTAAATATTACATGTCACAAGATATTAAAACAAACAATAAACTTCCAAAATGGTCACCAAACTAGTAGCAGATTTTAGAAGTGCCAAGGGGCGAGAGTGGGAGACTTCTATAGCCATCCATAATCTCCTCCAGGCCATCCATTGTTACCTCCGTAAACATGCAATCTTACACCCTAAGTAAAAACACTAGGATTGCAATTCCTCTGCCTTCTCTCCTAATAAGATTGCCAGCTATAATCCCCTCCAAAGCAGAAATTTTGGAAGTGCCATTGTTGCTATTCCATCAACAACATTAGCTCGGACTTTATTAATAGTTAATTATCATAAATACGTTTCTGGTAGTCTGCTATCCTTAGCTCTATTGCTCAGGAAAAAGAAAAAAAAATAAATAAAGGGTCTCTGACAAGTTCTTATGGTTTGGAGACTTGGTCAAAGAGGTTTGTTTCTCTCTATCTCTTTCTTTTTATTTTTTTTTGGGGGGAGCATGTTATAGCTTTTTCCAGACATGAGAAAAAGCAATCATCAGTAGCTAGAAGAGTCTCCAGACTCAGGGATATTGTTATAATCGGGTCAGTTGAGCCTGCTTTCAGCTCATTCCACATCACAAAGCTGTCATAAGACCAGTGCTTTCTTTGGAGCAGGTACATTCAAATGCCACCAGGTTGCAAGCCTGGGGCTGCGAAAGGTAAACTAGTGTCAGTGAGCACATCATGTTGCAAAAGCATCATAATAATTGTATAGACAGCAAAGGATTGCATTTCACTACCGGGAGCATCAAATACATAAGGCAAATGCAAACAAGCTATTGTCACCTACCAGGATTGGGAACCTGAGTGTGAAACTCCTAAGCTGTTCATTACCAGCTTAAATGAGCCCGTTAGGCTTACATTAGACTTAAGAGAAAAGAGAAAATAGTGCTACTGAATTGCCAGGGATGCGAAATTTCCTAATGCAAGAGAAGAATCACCACAAATCCAAACACTGAGTCTTATTGTATTATCTATCTTATATTCAATTTGGAAAATTCATAAGCCCAACATGGGTATAGCTTTTATGAAGTTGTTAAAAGAGATGATAGAAGAAATATCTTAGCATCATTTCCATATTTGTCTTTTTTTTTCCTCCCCTGTTAGGAGCACTGCTGAGACAAAATGGGATTTGGGAGAAACTTGTTTGTTTCTGGTGTATCTGGTATGGATCAAAAAGAATCAAACAGAAAAGCAACCTATGGTAAAATTTTGAAACCCAATTTTTATCAGAAGATGATTTTGATTTTATTATGTTTGATGCTAGTGAGGGATAAGACAGACATGAAAGGTTTTGAGTATAGATTTTAGAACCGAGTGATGAGCAAAACTGACAATTCATATTCTTATCAAATCCTTTTGAGTCTTACAAGATAGAAGTTTCCTTGAATTTTCTGACATCTTCACATCTCGCCCTGCTCGAAACTTGGAGACTCATAAAAGACAAACAACATAAAACTTGAAAAATACTGGCAAGAAGAAATTTTCAGCTGCAGATCGGTTTAAAGAAAAAGTCTTATTTGGTCGAGGCTGAAGGAGATCTTCAATATAAGGTAGTTGGCTCCACAAGGGTATTTGACCTAAAATCTAACTATCATAAATAAGGAACTGAAGCAGAACGTAAATTATAATGCTGACACAGAGCTTTTCTTCGCTAGTTTCAGGTCAAAATACAAACTCAAATCAGGAGAAAGTATCTTTGTCGTCTGAGAGTTGTTGTTCTTTTGGGTATCAAGGTAATCTCAAAAAACTTTCAGGTGATCACTCTTTATTTATTTAAGACATCATACAGCGAAGGAATACCAAATAGTCTTTACATGCTCTGCACATGGCTCATGGTAGTACCGTGAGCTCTCTGGCTTGCTTCAAAAAACAAAAAAACAAAAAAACAAAAACAAACAAAAAAACCCACAAAAAACAAAACCCTTTCAGTTCAAGGATGCCTTCTTCCTTATCATGTTATCACGTGGCCGTCATTACCACTATTATAACTACCACAATTATCTGAATATTTAATAAGTGGACATCTAATGAGCAACGTTAGGCAGTGGAAGCATGAAAAACTTCTACCTCATTAGCCAGGGTAAGTTATCAGAGTTAATCAAGAACTGATGGCTGCAGTTTGTTCCCATTCCTATTGCATCAGCTCCGTGGGCATCATATGAGTCAGGAAGATAACCTCCTGTTCAGAGAGAGCTCTAAGGATATTATGGCTTCCCGGAACCGGGCAGGTGTCCTGTCTCATGAAACTCTAGGCTCCTTCTCTACAACATTCCATCTCTTCCAGAAAACAGTTAAACAGTGTATTAGTTGGGATCATGAGCCAACAGTGGAGGGGTTGCAGGTAACCAACAGGGCTGTTTTTTATACCGTATCGTCTGGTAGGGGATGGTAGCTCTAACCATATTCTTAATGCTAAGGACAGACTTAAAGAGCCTTCACGACACTAATGTCAGGTTTCTGACCTACCTTTTCGACGCACCACACTATTTAGAGCACTATTTGAAACGCTACAGGAGAAAGTGTATGAAAAAAGAAGGCTGATGGAGTACCGGCTTTAATTTTAATTTCTTCAGAATTAGACAGCATTCTAAAATCCCAAGTGTACACATTAGTCTACAAAGAGAAATAATTATTAAAGTGCTCCAGTCACCACTGTGTATGGCCACACCGTTTGCTAGAAGCAAGGGTAGGTGACAGTGCAGAGAGGCAAGAACATTTTGTCCTGCATTAAGCTGTGCTTCCCTCAGCGGCTATGTGTCAGACGCCTGGTACCCTGGTTCTTTGGGCGGGGTGAGCCAATTAGCACATTCCCTAGTCTGGAACGGTAGTTGCTGTGTATGTGATCTGCATACTGATTCAGCTGAGATCTGACCTTCTGGGCGGAGAAAAACAAGAATCCCAGGTGAGAGAGAACATTGGCCTAGATTTTCCTATCCTCTCTCCTCTATTCTTTATTTGCAGGCATACTGGCCGAGTAGTTTTTTTCTGACTAACTCAGAAACCAGAAACAGTTCTATTTCACTTGAAATTTAGATCAATGTATAGGATTAAAACTATGAAAAATCACGGCTTTTACTTCCTTTGGCTGATGTCAAAAATGGAAAGCAGGTAGCTCAATGTAATACTGACACTCTTGGCCCACATGGGGGCAGTACTAGGTAATCAAAAGCCTCCAGAAGCTGCCAGGGCAAGCAGTCTGGCAGGAGACGAACTCTGCATGCATAAAGCAGAATCAGGTTAGATTTTCATAAGCACAAGATTCCTTAAAGCCAATCATTATAGTGTTCTAAATGTTCTTGCTGAAGGAATCAGGAAGGGAAGACGTCTACCGAATTTCCAACTGATGGTGCAATCACTGGCCAGGAGATGTTGGGGAAATTCTTTGATGGATTACTCCATTTAACACTAGAATGTCCTTTTAACAGACATAATATAAAATAGATACACAAGCCAATTTTTTTATCATATTATCAAATGATATTCTAGGTTTGTTTGAAATGGGGGAAGCATATCATAGGTGTAGATTTTCAGTTTCTTATTGTCTCATATGATGAGTGGCATTTTGATAAATTTTCAAATAAAGCATTCCTAGGGAAACTGGATAAGGAGGTGTGCATTCATAGCCAGTGGAAGTTTACCAGGATATTTAGTACCTGGTGGTCATTCGTGGCTTGATGATTTTGAACAGGTCTCCTTCAGATGGGTCTTTAAGTTATAAATGCTACACAAACAGACATTGGTGTAATGATACGCTCACCTAATCTGAAGAGTTTTCGATGTTGAGGGAAGAAATCTTTTCTACCAAGACCTTCAAAATCAATTATTTTGGTTTCTTCTAAGACACACCTTAGAGATTCCAGCCAAGAGCCATAAAGGTATGTTCAGTTGTATTCCCACAACCTACAGCGTTGAAAGACACAAAGTTACAAAG